GGAACGCGCTCTCGAGCAGGGAACGCCGCGCATTGTATCGAGCGCCACACGCCGAAAACTGCAGGCAGCTATGGAAAAAATAACTCCGCTACTGCATTGGTTTAGTCCGTTACCCGCCTGAAACTTGACGAATTGCAAGGGAATCCTAGTGCAGGGGTGATTTCCGGTCCCTCGGGAAGGGTTGAACATGCACCTGAATATGAAATATTAAATACGCAGTAGAAGCTTTTCCCCTCGTCTTGAGCCGGTTTTAGAGTGCGGATTTAACCTTGATGCAGCATGGCAGAAGATACATCCGCCAGGGAAGCTAATCTAGCTGGCCATTTGCCACCCCAAAATTTAATTTTAGAATATTCACATATTTCCTCGGTGATACCGCACGTACACTTACCGGTAAGTAATCAAACTCCCGGAATAGACGACACATAAAATGCCATACCTATCGGAGGTAGGAGGGTTCGTCATCATCCGGGGTTATGCTGGAGATAATCGGAGACGGATGACACGGCGATGCGGCTACGGATAATTATCGCCACTTGACCAAAGTTTTGACAATCTTGAGGCAACGACAGTGAAGAGATAGTCGCTATATCCAGTGTGATAGAATGCAATATGCTCAAGCAATATACCGGGATATAAACCCGACGTGATTTTCACCAGTGTCATGATCACAGTCTAGGTAGAAGTATGTAGCTCGGTTCCGGGATATAACAGGGGTAGCATAACTCCGAAAGCTATATCTTTCGGTGTTTGGCTTAGTGATTATTTACACAGCTGATGCCCGTGCTCGCATTTGCCCCATAATACTGCACGAATATCTAATAATCTCCTTTGGGACCGAGACTTTTGTGTTACCAGGAACAAGTAAAGGTGTGCTTTGTTAGATGCCTGACTAAGGCACTGATTTGTTTAGAAAATCTGGTTACTATACTCATCTGCGGAAAAAAAACATTGGTATCCCTAGACAGGTTATTGGGATGGAAAATTTAACCTTGCGGTATTTCCCAAAGTGATGCTAAGACTGATACTTAAAATAAAATACTATTCACACTATATACATGAACAAGGTGACTGAAGGTCATCCCGTAAGTACTGCGAAGTATCGGTACCAACTCGTCTTCCGTAATGATTGGCAAGTAGAGCTGTGACACGATACGCACAAAGGGCTAAGCCTTTGACACAGATGTTTTGGAGACAGAATTCAGGCACCGAAATATAAAAGAGGGTGGAATATGGTTCGCACCGCGATTCGGAGACCCCACCAGTTATGTTGAAACTCATGGTTCCTCAGTGGCTTCTCTCTCCAAGCCGTTCTTTTCTTTCTCCGCTGCAGTTCTCACAGCAGCATCTTGTGCCTTTTCCATTTCACTCTCCTTTGGCAATCTTTCGTTAGAAGTGAAAATCACCGCGATGGTGCA